ATTTACGCTGATGTAACTTTTTGTCTGACTGCACAACATGTAATGGAAGAGAAGGTTTGTAGAGATCTGTTTTTGACATGCCTCTAAAAGTAGATGTCATATTAATTTTGTCTCTTCAATGTCAAAAAACTTTCCTTTGAGAGGCAACTTTAGTTTTTGGGAAAGAAAAAAAAATCACAAGAAGACAAATTTGAAGAACATGCAGGACGATTGAGTACACATACTTATTTTCGGAACACAAGCGGTTCTCCGACTGGTTATTGAATAATGAAAAGATGCATTGTCATGCAATACAAAACATTTGGAATACGTTTTCTGGCTGAATAACGTAAGATTAAAAGTCATCTGCTTAATTCACATCCATTTACAAGTCAACTACTCGGGCAATTGCAGAATCGTTTTGATCCTGAGCTTGTAAGACAAACCTAATATCACTGGATTTAAACACTTCTTTAATCTTCCGAGAACGTTCCTTCTTTAGCTCATATTCCAAGAATATTAAGTGAATACAATTATTGCCAAAGAAATTGAATATTCATTTGCACTACGGCTTGGTAGTTTACTAACGAGTTAACAAAACTTAAATTCTGCTTTTTGTGTCTAAGAATACAACAATATTTTAAATATTTACAAATAAAATATTAAATTGGAGATTTAATTGGAGCCTCATCAGTTGCCTAGCATTTGAAAAAGAAAAGATTGTTAAATACTAATTGTTGTTGCTGCTCAGTCTAACCCAGGCTGCATGGTTGGTTTTCGTAGTTTTTTTTTAGGTTCTCTTTACAAAGGTTCTCTATGAAAGCATCTTAATCAAATAGCTCCCATGTTCTTTCTATGTTCAAATAACCAACTAACCTAGTTTTTAAGCGCGATTTCCAAGTGAAGTTACTAGTAAAATCCGAATACTCATTAAAAATCATGTAGCTTGCCAATCGGGAGTAACATGAAAGATACGGCGCCAATAATTGAAATGTTGTTACGGTACGCTGTTTCTTAACTTAGATGGTCATTCCTTAATTAAATAGCCCACCAACGGCCGAGCGGTAAAGACGCTGAACACTGGTAGTTCGGTTCGAGTTTCGAATCCCGCGAACGGGCTGGCCGCATGGGCGGTTTTCGTGGTTTTCCCCATGTGTAACGTGTATACGAGCCAGTTTCCCTTAGAAAGTCCTCCACGAAGGCATCCATCCCTCCCTTTAGGCAGATAGCCCTCGTGTGCTTTGCCATAATTAAATAATCCAATTCCAATCCTTAATTAAATATAATTGATTTGTAAATTCTACTAGAACTGACGGTAAGAATTGAAGTGGAAATAAGTAATATGGTGTGCAATCTTGATTAATATAAAATTAAAATATTTGCATAGAAAAATGTTTGCATTCAGACAGAAAAGTTTTTTGAAATATTTGCAATTACTTTATAAGAAGGATTTATTAATAACCGTAATAATTACTTATTATATTACTGATGATTAGGATTCAGTTCTTGACAATTACATTCTAAATTAGAATTTTAAGGATATAATGAAAATACGCTACGCACAAAAATACATTTTAGGAAAAAAATGAGTTGATTTTTTATGTTTTAAAACTTCTTAATTCATTTAATAAACATCGTATCCTCGTTGTTTATTGAATCCAGAATGTTGGTGTCGTTTATATAATTATTGTTACTTGTCCACAGAATCTGCTGACTTATCCAGCCATTAAGTAGCTGCAGATCATTTCTACATAACCATTGAACTTCCATTAATTCAGTCTCTAGAGGGTTGTACGTTTATATCATAATTTGACTTTTATAAAAATGATTATTCTAAATCTTATGTTTCTATAAAAATATATTGTGCTTTAAAAATATGGATGATAGTATCAGCCGCTCTTTCAGTTCAGCCACTTCAAAAGCAACAGTTTGTTTAGAAATAAATTATGCAGTTAATGTCATAAAATTCAAATAAATATCAAACGAAAATTCTCAGTTTTAGACAATTCGATTTAAACGAAGTAAAGTAGCAGACGATAAAACGCCGAAGGTAAAAATTTACTCTTACAAAAACTTACTCTTATTTTTTTAAAAAAAGAAAGATACGAGAGAAATTAAAAAAAAAATAGTTAAAATTTGAATAATATCATCTATAATTTAAAAAAAAAAATAGCTTTTCATATAGTATTAATAAATATTTATTACGCATCATTGAGGGAAAAAATGTCATATAATTAATTCTCCGTAAAATTTTACTTGAAATTTAAGGTTAAAAATAGCTGTGGCAATTCAGTGTAACAAAAATCCATAGACCACATTTGGCGTTATTATCGCTCAAAAAAAAGGTGCCAAATTTCAAAACGCGAAAATATGTAAATTCGTGTATATCTTAGAAAATTTTGAATAAAAAAGTCTAATTTTTTGCAGATATGCTTAAAAATACACCTACTTTAAGATGATGGTAAAAATTTTATAGGTTATAATTCAAAATTTTTTTTCGAAAAATTTATAAAAATTATTTAAAAATAGAAATTTAAAAAATAAAACACAAAAAATGGGTAAATTTTATTTGGAATGAACCTAAATTTCGAAATGTGAGAGAAAAAATCAAAAAAAGTTTAATAAAAAAAAAGAGATATTAATAAATATTTGCCAAATTCAATTAACATTGAGGAGCTAAAATTTTGAGAGCTAATATTTTAAAAACTACTCGTACGATTTTTACAAAACTTGGTATTCTGGCATAATTTGAGTCGTAGAATCGAAATATGGTAAAAAAATTGGTATGTTATTTCAGAAAAAGTCCGATTTTGTGTCAAAATACCTATGTTAGAATAGTGCTATATATAAATCTAATATATATCCTAAGTCGCGCTTTCGAGACATGAAAAACGCAGTTTGAATTTTGTCAATCGGCCCCAGTAGAACGGGAGATATAGCACTGTCCCCTTTTTTTTTTTTTTTTTTTTTTTTTTTTTTTTTTTTTTTTTTTTTTAGCAGTGTACAATCACAGTGAATTAAATTTTAGCTATACGACCGTTTCCCCTTCAATCTAAACCGCTTAATCGCTGCGCACGACAAAGCCGAGCCTAGAGTATTAATATAATCCAAAGTAAGTGGCTAGCACAAAAAATATTCAGTTACAGAGCTACTTCAAGCATGGGGCATAAATTCGGAACTAACTCTCCTACTGCGAACTCTTAAAATCTGATACTTAAAATCTGATATTTAAATACTATTTCCGAACTCATGTATATTTGCATATGCATCATTCAAATTTGCCTTCCTGAGGAATTTGAAATCAGAAGGGAAAGGAAGGTTTCTTAAAATAAAAATAATTGGTTAGGACAAAATAACGTCTTTACGGTTAAATTCATTCATTAATTTTAACACGTTTATGATTTCTTCATTCAGAATTAAGAAATAATAAACCTGTTGTTGATGAATGTTCTAATTTTTCTTATGGGAAAACAAGTCATTTTACTTATTTTATTCATATTTATTGCTATTGTTATATTACTAAAATATTCATGCATTTACTTTTCATGAATGAGGAAGCTACACTATTGCTTTACTAATAATGTTCAATTAGGAAATATTTGTTCCCCAGCAGCATTTTTCTGCAGTTCTCAATAGGTAGTACTCTCCATTAAGATCTCATTAATTGTTTTCTTCAGCGAGAGTTGGAAAATTCAAAATAAATAATGTAAAAATAATTTCCTTTAAAGTTCAAAATCGTTGAACTTTTTAAAACACAGTCTGAAATATGTTCGTTTGAAACTTTACGGGGAAACTTAATATCGATCGACAAATAATTCACCCTTAAATATGTTAATTTCTCTTTCTCGAATCTCAGTTTAATCGTAACTAATTTCAGAAGAGCTTATATGTTTCACTCATGCCCCTGGATATATATTCTCTATGTCTAAAAACTCAACACGGTCAGCTGGTCAGCTAGTTTCAGTTTGTGCCTCTTATAACACCGTAAAACTTCATGATCATTTTATTTACTAGTGATAAAAGTAGAAAACGAAATAATAGTCAAAAGTAGTAATCAATATTTATGTTAACTATTTTGGTAGAGTGAATGAGTAGAGAAAATGTAAAACCTACTGCGTTCAAGTTGAGGTAAAAATTCATCTGTCTAAATCTTTTATGTTATTTTTATTGTTTTTACTCGGAAGAAAGGAAGTCTAGATCTGGCGATATACGTACTAGAACTCTAAAAATTTATAAAAAGCACTATATTTAGTTTGGAAGTTATAAATGTTGTCAGTCTGCTCTGATGATTGTAAAAAACCTGGCATGTCTACCTTGCAGTCAGTAACATGGAAAATACCAAGAACTGTTACCATTATCTCGGCCTTAGCAGAGTAATATTATAAAGAAAGCATATGAAAATATGTAGCATTAAGTATATGAGCTATACTTGGGAATAATTTTGTGTCGTTCTTATTAATGAGTTACATCTCAAGTAAAAGTAGTGGTAGTACGATTTTTCTGAATTCCGTCCTAGATTTTTTATCAAGCTACAGAATAAAGTCCATGAATCTCGAATCTCTCTTCTTTTACCATCAGACTCTCGGAGAGGGTTCTTACACCGCAAATTCTGAATGTTGTCATCCAGCAAAACAATAGAAAATATCCATGCTTTATCTCATAACTGGAATTTTGGCCCCTAGGCGTGGATAAAAACTAAAGGAAGACAAGGGTCAAATTCTATGCTGACTAGTATACCGATCGAACGGTCAGAAATATTATACTAAAGTTATATCTCAATTTTTTGTAAATTATCTTGGTCTTTATCAGTTCTTTTTTTCTTTCTTTCTCTTTCTCTCTCTCTCCCCTTTTTTTTTTTTTTTTTTTTTTTTTTTTTTTTTTTTTTCAGAAATGACACTTGTAGCTTGTGTGTGCATTCCTGGTTTTCGTGCCGTATCAGCAATACGTAATCTAAATGGTAAAAATCATAAATAATTATCAACAGGAAAATCGTTTTTTTTTTTTGTCTTTGATTTACTTACAGGAAGAGTGACTTTGTTTTCCACACAATCTAGCAGTCCCACAGGATCAGGCACCACTGAAAAAAAAAAAAAAAAGTGCAGATTTAAAGAGATGTTTAACTTTGATAAATATGACAAATGAGAATATTTTATGTTGTAAATTTAAATTTCTATTCATAAATAAATTAATTGAAATCAACAGTATTGTAACTGAGAATATGATTATACAATTATAAAACACATTTCTCATTCAAAATGTTTATAACATGTATAGTATGAGTTAGAACAATGTAGAATGTGTGAGCACTTTCTTAATGAACTGGCTGATGTACTTATGTTACGGATGCAGAGACCCATAAAATTTCTTATGCGTCCATCTCATTCCCCCAAGTATCATTGAAAATTAATTTGTTTCGGATATACCAAGATTTTCTTTAATCTCATAAATCTGCGAGCCTTTGTGGAAAAAAACCAGTATCCAGTAGTTTTTGCACCAGTCGTATTCAAATCATGATTTTTGTCGTTGGAAAACTGATGATTTCAATGTGACGGCGTCTTTGTGTCCTTCCACTATTTTAAATTACACATATTATACTTCCACAGTTACAATCTAAGTTAGCCTAATCTCAAGAAACCAGCATACCAATGGTCAAGTGAGTGCTACCGCCGAACCCTATAATTCGATTCAAGTTCGAATTTAACTAACATGCTCGTTGCATGGGTGTTTTTATGGCTTAAACGCAGGTATAACATTAACAAAACTCATTTTCACTTACGGAGCTCTTCAGGGTTTATGTTTGTAGGCAAATAGTTCTCTCATGCTTTGTTTCAGTTAATTATTCCTTTCCAACTCAATCTCGAAATACCAACATATTTCGCATATTGAAATAAAAAAAAAAGTTATAAAAATGTCCCAGTTGATATATTCATTAAAATTAAAAATAATATTCCATAACCTTTAGGTTTTAAGGAAAAAATTAGCCCTTGAAGAAATACCTTTTTTAGTATTGATAGTTTTTTAGAATTTAAAACTGTTAGTTTAATTCAATCTGACATATGATTCAAAATATAGTCGAAACTTAAGTAGTTTTTCTTTCTTACTTGTAGTCTGGATATATGCCCTTTTGCTATTAAGGTACAGACTGACGTATTATAGCAATTAGCAATACGCGAGTGAATGTCATTTCTTCTTACATGAGACAATAGGCATTTTAGTTTAGAAGTATACTTTTAAAATTATGTGAAATCTCCCTGCAGCCATATTAATTTCAACGAGAGCATGAAATCGGCTTCAAGGATTTTATCGGTTATTTGCATTATGTTTTTAACAGTCAGTGAATGGCACTGTGAATATACGAACACACTAATATTTGTGAAAAATGCAGCATTATGAAGGAATTGTCGGAAATGAATAAAATTTATTCCACATGTTATTGATAGAGTTACAAATAAACGATCAAATTTAATGTAATCATGGGGAAAGGCATTACATATGGCTTCGACTTGACACCAAAGTTCAGTTTTAATATGTGCCTCACCAGCCATGTGAGCGAGTCCCCAGCCGATGAAATCCCAGACTGCTCAATGGGCGACATAGTCGGGGAATAAGCAGGCCATGGAAGAAGCGAAACCTATTGTGCCTTAAAGAAGGCTCGTGCACGGGCATTATCCTGCTGAAATACAGCGCCCGAAATGCGTCGAAGAATGAGGAGGACTCCTGGTTTCACAGCTTCCCTTAATGTAGTGATCACTGTTGAGGCTACCCACAATCTGCACTAGATGAGATCGATAATTATACCCAATAGCACCCCACATCATAATGCCAGGCGTTTGTGCGGTATAACGCTGGATAACACACTATGAGAGCAGACGTTCCTCCTTATATTGTTTGACACGTACACTTCCATCACTGTACGCCAGACTGTAGAGAGATTCATCGAAGAAAACAGCTTGTTACCACAGTGCACGCCACGAACCTTACTGCCTTGCCCACTGAAGTCGGAGGCATCTGTGATTCAGTGACCGGGGAATCCTACGTGGAGGAACCCTTACACTCAGTCCTTGCTGTAGCAGACTACTCCAACGTTGTGCTAACACACGAGGGGACGCTGTACCATCCGTCACAACCATGCGGATAAGGTGTCTGTCATCCCTTGCCGTTGTGGTATTGCATGTCCACTGCCAGGATTTCACCTTCTTCGTTTCTACTCTGTCAGAAGCAGTATTTAAGATGCGGTTTCAAGAGTTCGTGAGGAGTAGTAGCGGAATTAATTCCGAGTTTATGCTTTTGCGTGACTGAGATAGCTCTCCATTTGGTGTTAGCCACCCTTTTCAGATTATATTGATATTCTAGGCTCGGCTTTGCTGTGTGCAGACGATTTAGCGCTTTAGATAAATAAAGAGCCAGTCGTTTAGCCATCCCAATTTATTGTGATTTTACATTTTTATTTTCTGTTCAATTTTATTTAACAGCAAAGTGGTGGTGAATTATGAGCACCCAGTGAGTGCATCTTGTTAAATTTAGCTCAAATAAAAAGGTTATTTAAAACGTTCTTCTGCAGTATTTGTTCTTCAAACACATAGCGAGAATTCGCTACGCAGTCTTCTACGCAGGGTGTACTGTGAATGCTCCCAAAAAGAGAGACTCTACAAAATAACTGTAAAACCAAAAATTCTCTTCTGAAATACAGGTTTGTTATAATTAAAGTGACCCTATTCAGACTCCTCTAGAACCTGTTCTACTTATTGAATTTTTATGAAATTTGGTATATATGTTATATGGACCACGGGGAAACGATTTCTATTATAAAAGAATAGTTCAAATTTTATACACCAAGGGGAATTGTGGCGCCTACATAAGGATAAAAAATCTATCAGAATCATTAAAATTTATTCAGTTACAGAATGTGCTCAATGTGTGCTACATTGACATCAATTAAGTGTTGACAGCGAATTATAGCATGCTCAATGGTAGCGCGAAGTAATTCTCGAAGGATTTCAGCAAGATGGCGAGTAATGCTGGCTTTTAACTCAGTAAAGTCCTAATTCCTCTTCCATAAACACGGTCTTTTAAGAATCCCCACAACCAGGTATCGCAGAGATTTTAGTCGGGTGAACGAGGAGGCTAGGCATCCAGAAAAGCTCTGGATATTACACGATTCTCGCCAAAGTTAGGCACGAAGTAGTTCTTTGATTTGGCGTCCAATGTGGGGAGTTACTCCATCTTGCATGAAGACAGTGGTCTGGAAACATTGCAGTTCCTATAAAGCAGGAATGACTTTCTGTCGAAGGAGTTCACTGTACCGTGCACTCGTGACAGAGGAGTGAGATTTTCAAAGAAAAACCATCCGAGTATACAATCAGCAGCAAATCCACACCATGCAGTCACATAATCAGAATGCATTGGTTGTTAGTGCAGGACATTAGGAGGTGATCCATATGCGACAATTTTGATTATTCACAGCTCCATCTAAAGAAAAGTGCGCCTTATCTGACCATAGAATTTTCCAAGGCCACGCGACATCGACAACCATTCTCGCCAAAAATCGGCAAGCAAATTCAGAGTGTGTTAAGTGGTCTTGAGGTTGCAGATTTTACACCAAGTGGATCTTATACGGATACCATTCTAAAATGGATTGCAGAATTTTTTGTATTGTCGACCAAGGAATTGCCAACTTAACGTGACACCGATCGAGCACTTGCTGAAGAATAGCGGGAACTGGAGGCTCTTGCAACCACAGCAGTAGAGGCTTCTTCCACAGTTTCATTCTCAGTCGGTTTCCGCCTTCTTTCTGGAAGCACACCTAAGTCTCCAGTCTCTTCAAATTTCATAATCATCTTCTTCAAATGGGCCTTTTTCGCAATCCCTTTGAACGACGGTACTCACGCAATCAGCTAAGTTATTGCTGCCGTTCTGATAAAATAGTAAAGTTCGATCTTTCTTCTGTAACGGCATGATTAACGACAACAAAGGCACACAGAATGACTTTCTGGCTCTAACTACAAGTCTCTATGAGTGTTTTTATAGGTTTGACTAATTTGCTTAAGGAAATTTTGAAAAATGCCATCTGGTGGTCAAAATTTGAACAAAATTTTTATTGCAGAAATCTTTTCCTCATAGTCCATATGACGTATAGACCACGTTTCATCAAAATCCGATAGGCAGAATGGGTTCTACAGGGGTTTGAACAGAATGCCTTTAATTATAACTACAGTGTATTATTAAGATCTTGTAGGATCCCATCGAAATTTTCCCGCAGAATGGCAAAAATTTGCTTGAGATGCACTACAAGCTCTTGACTTTAGTTTTTTATTCTTATTTCCATTTATTTATTTATTCAATTTTTATAATTTATCGAAATCTGAAACAGGCACAGAAAATTATAACAGCTTCCTGGCAGATCAAGTATTTGTGATACTACTGAAGTCTGAGAGCCAGAGCTGTCTGTTTGTAACATCATCTACTCCAGAACGGCCGGAAGTTGAGTTTCGAAAGAGGTTATTGCCGGATTTCCCAAAATTCGTGGGAAGTCATTTCGACCATTCTCATCTTCGTTCGACTTTAGTCAGCCGAGATATTAATTAAAAATTCTGAAAACGCTAAATTTCGCACTCATTTTTCCGAGTAGCAACAGTCTCGCGCGCTGGAGATAAAAATCTGCTTTATTTCGAAAAGTATTGCCACTGCTCGCTTTGAAATCGTAGAGTTTGCTAACAAAAAATTTGCAAGTGTTACGAAATATGAACAATAATAGCATTGCTATACATTTATTATTATATAAGATCATATTCTGACATTGAAAAAAGCACGCGACCGCATGTGACGTCACTGGATGTCGAACATGGACCTTATAAGAAATAGACTAACACAAATGGGTTTTCTCCCTCGTCTGAGGCGTTTTCGGCTGTCACCTTGATCACATCCGAAGGAGTAGGGACGACTTGCAGAAATTTAACAGTGGTTGCCTATTGCAGCGTGTATAATTGTCAAGAAAAAGCTGGTTGTAGCGCCTCATTTCACAAATTAGAATTTCTCCATATTTTTATTTTTGAAATTGAGATTGATTTTTAAAATTTAACATATTTATCAAGCATAATAACGTTCCAATAATTATAAAGCTATTGCATGCTTTCAGGGCTGGATTTTTTTTTAGCTTTCCTATGCTGTAAGGAAATTTGTAACTACTTCTTTTAGAAAATAATATTTTAAAATTTGAACTAATAGAAAATTTCAAACAAGCAATTTTTCTCTTGCAATTTTTATGCTTTTTATTGGTGTAAATAAGTAAAAATACTAAAATATTTAAAAACGAATTTTGAAAGTTTTGTTTAAAATTCTAATTGTGCTGCTTTTTTAAAATTATAGATGAATATTAATAGCATAATTTCTATAAAGGAATTTTATTTCAATTATATTTCATAATACATCATAGTGATAAAACACTTTTGACTCCTTAATAATTTTAGACATTTAATTCTAATATTAAAATTGTATTTAAACCGTAATAATTAATTTGCTTGTATTTTATAGGAGTGATTATTTTTTAAATTTATTTTTAGTTCTGCATAAGATTTTTTTTTATGTACTGTTAATTTAATTTATTAGCCCAAAGGAGCGGTAGCCTAGAAAGGCTGTTAGTTTCGAAGCGGCATTTTGCGCTGTTTTACTATAAATGTCCGTGTCTCCTTGCAAATTGTTGTTACCAAATATTATCGCCCTGTTATATATGTAAAGAAATTAAATAATGAAGAATCTGCATGAATACATGTATGTTTCTCGCACTGTGACAAAAACGACAGTATCTAGAGACATCAAATTTTGAATAATGTAATCCTCAACCCGAACATGGACATGTGGACGGCTCAATTTCGAATTTGTTTTAATCTATTTCATATTTTGTAAAACATTAACGAATTTTTGATTAACAAACTCAACGAGTTCAGAGAGAGCACTGTACAGAAAATAACAGTTTTATCTCCAGTGCGAAAATTCTAAAGATATGCTGTTTTCAAATGTATGCGATTTACGGGCGAAGAACATGATATTCAGTAAATATAGGTAACACACAAAACGTTAAAAAATTCCTTTTGGGCGTAATATAAAATCTGAGTGCTTCTAGATTTTATTTTACCTTTTGTTTTACCCTTCATTACACTCAGAAAATTTTATGCTCCGAATTTTATAAATTACTAAAATAAATATTCCACTTTAATGTTAATAAGTTAATGATGAATGCAATATTCAAGTGTTTACTTAAAATAGTCATTTTTTTTCTCAGTATGAAAATTAATTGTCCGAATCTCTTTCGGTCCTATTCATTTTAAATAATCAATGAGTAATTACAGATAGGAAAATTTATAAACATCGTACAACTGGTATACATTTAGCTTTCCTAGATTTTTTAATCCGTTCAAGTTATAATTTAATAAATATTTAACAGTTTTCAATTAGTTAATTATTTTGAAAGTGAAAGGCAAAATATCGGAAACTCATTCATGAATTAAAATAAACCAAGTACTACCTAAATTCCGAAATTTACAAAAAAGTACGCTTATATAAACACAAATTTATGTTCAGTTTTGCCACTGCATCTCGAATTACAGATTTTAAGTTTTATAGATTATTTGTTTTAGAATTTAGTAAAGGCTAGCTACGAACTTTATAAAATTAAACTGTTGTGCATCTCTGATGTCTTGTACAAGCTACAAAAAACTTTACATTTACAGAAGAAATAAAAAATGATTTTATTTTTGATATCTGTTGACTAATATTATTACGCTTTGCATTATGTTAGAGTTTCTTAAAGTGTAGGTCGCGACCCCCATGGGGGTCGTGGGACCTGCAGCAGGAGGTGTCGCCAAAAATTTTAGCAGTTTTGAGATTTTTTTGACTTATTATAATAATTTTACAATTACCAAATATTTCTACACAATGTACCTGAAACTATATAAAGAAAAGGTAATACAGACAAAGAAAAGAGAAAACGAAAACATTTCGATGCATTCCTTTTATAATATAAACGTTATAAACGTTCATTTTACTTGCTTTGTACGTAACGCTGTCATTTCGTCTGTTACTTATTTAAAATTTTCACATTGTTCTATATCTAAAATTAGAAACTAAAGTTAATAACCTAAAACCACAATAATATATTACAGTACAAGTGAAAACAATTGACAGTTTCACTCAGGCGTGTGTCGGATTTGCGCAATGTTTATGGAGTCCCACAAAATTTTCGTAAATATTATGGGGTCCTGGATCGGGGAAAAAAAAAAAAAAAAAAAAAAAAAAAAAAAAAACCTCAGTGATAAAAAGGGGCCGCGACTGAAAAAATTTTAGGAAGCGCTGCATTAATTATATACGATGCACTGCATTTCGTACGTAATTATACGAAACTGCAGAATATTTCCTTCTTATCAATTACGTAATCTTAAGACACAATAACACGCCGAATAAATACTAATTCAGAAGTCAAACAACAAAAATCAGCGTTAATTTACAAAATTTTCACAGGACTAGTTTCGATGGTTTTACCGAACCATCATCTTCAGCTGCAAAACCGCAAATGACAGCTGCAAAACCGCATTTGCGGTTTTGCAGCTGAAGATGATGGTTCGGTAAAACCATCGAAACTAGTCCTGTGAAAATTTTGTAAATTAACGCTGATTTTTGTTGTTTGACTTCTGAATTAGTACGTAATCTTCTATTGAAAGCTGAATACGAAACTTAACGAAACTGAACTTTTACAATATATGTATATAACGTGTGCTATCATCATGCTAGATCAAATGTTGTTACATTAATTTTATCTAAATTATTTTTTAAATAATTCCAAGTTTATAATTTGCGAATAAGTTATTTTCTATTTTTGAATTATTGTAGCATAGTAGTTTAATACAGGATTTGCTATGAATACTTTCTTAAAGTATTTACGTTCTTTACTGCAAAAATTGGTCTCGTTTTATTATTTTTAATACCATTTTAAGTTGCATTGTTAAGAACTAGTGTAATGCGGTAATCTAAAAATTCAAGTTTGGTTTTTACCTAAGGTACTTTAAATTTTTCAAGAAGTTCTACTCCTATTTTTAACACTAATCCCACCAGCGAACCGGCAGTAAAATAGCTGCATACTAGTAGTTCTGACATGGGTTCGATTATAATCGTGGTTTTCCCCATGGGTAACGTGTATACGAGCCAGTTTCCCTTACTCCTCCAGAAAGGCACCTCTCCCCTTAGGCAGATAGCAGCCCTATTGTGCTTTGTCATCATAAAGTAAGCCAAAACTATGTTATCCCTGCCATGACATTAACATTGTCCACTCATGAGCTCGCTAATCGCCCAATTTAAGAGCCATTGGTATCTATCCCTTGTAGAATGAGGTGTTTAATTTACTTCTAAAATATAGCAATATAATAAAATAAACGGCGTAATTTAAAAGAAATATGCATATTCATATCACGTTTTTAGCTTTATTATTATTTTTAATAGAGTAACTGTTTGATAAAATAAAGCTAACTGATAATTTTTATAAGCATTTATACCGTTATTGTAATTGTTAAAGACACTTCTAATGGGTATATGTTATTCAGAATAATCTTTTGAGAATCGCTAGGGATTTTTATTGTTAGCTTTTTCATAAATATATGTTTAAAAATTATATAAGATATTTTTAAAATAAGGCATTTTCTATTTTTGAGAGATTAGTGGTCTTTTACATAGTATCCGCTTGCGAAATTAGGTAGATACGGTTTGAAAAGTCAGCTTACGAGGAAGACTTTTACATGGAATAAACTGGTTGATATATTTATGTTACATACGGGGTATCATGTGCAAAACGATAGCTAAGCAGACAAACATAGTATGCATAAAGACAAAGATATAATCCAGAATTCAGACAGCGGCTAAAGGTACCTGTAAGTTGAATAAAAGGAAGTATCATACATGTTAACTAATTTATCTTTTGCCCAAATATTTTACAAAACGCCTTACATTAAATAGTTTTTTTTTTTTTTTTTTTTTTTTTTTTTTGATAAAATAAGCAACTTATACCAAAATTAAGACGTTATAATTAAATATACAATGTACTTACGGCATTGTCGCGTTATCTCTGCCGCAAAATCATATTCTTGGCAAATAATTGCAGTGAACAATGCAAAACAAATTGATAAAGTGTTTAGTCTGATTAGAAACATGATCACTAAGTGCCTGGAAAAATCACAAGTCATGGAAGACTTTTAGAATGCGCTTATATACCTTTCACCTTCTTGCAACAGCAATAATATATGGTTCTAAAAGTCCAGTAATTAAGTTCGAAGAAAAAGAATGCGAAATGACATCAGATAATACTTACAAATGACTTAATCTGTAGAGATTTACGGATTAAAGTTTGTGTAATACATGGAAGATTCTGAAAAACATATTTGAACTAGATACAGCAAACGATTTTTTCCCTTCTCTAAACTAACATTTGATGAAAGTGAATGTCTGATAATTAAAATTAAATATTCGAAGCTACAAAGAGCTTGCAATTAGTTGGGTTTATTTTAATTACCTTTAATTAACCGAGAATTAAGTATGTTCTATATCTGAGTTATTTTAAAGTTATGGCGCAACGTCTTGATTTCCCATACATATAGGAAAACGGGCAAGTTCAAAATAATTGATATTGTATCTAACATATAACTACAGACCGGTTTTCAAAGATCGCAAGACCATTTCTCTGGAACAGTTGGTCTTGTATTTTCAGTTTCAAGCAAGGTATATTTTCAGACTGCTAAAATTATTCATTCGCGTGATAAATTCTTTTAATTAAAATAAAACAAAATTGAATGTTTAAGTTAAAAGGTCTTCTACAGAAAAATCTTAATTAATAAGTTGTTACCGGTTCCTAACAAAGACAATTTTGGGAGACTGTAATATGCAAAACAAGCCTTGAAAAATCCGTCGCAATCTTGACTTTTGTGTGATATAAGCTAGTGGTCTTCAGCTATGTTCTACGAAATTTGGGAATGCAACGTAACTCATAAGGATTCTGCAAGCCAAAATCAAAATTCCGAAGAATTTTTTACTATCACCTGAATTGCAAAGCTAAATATCTAAAATAATTAATTAAATTATATTTTTATTTCTTTTATTATTACTTACATTAATATAAAGTAGATCTATTTTTATAAGTACAATTCTATTCAGTCAAACACAAATAAAGCAAATTATTAATTTTTGATTTTTTCATTTCGTATTAACATGGCGTAAGTGGTAGTATGTTCGTCTGGCAATCGGAATATCTGAAGTTTGAATCCTAGCGAGGGTATAATTGATTTTTAAACTTTTTACTTCGAAAAGCCTAATAGTTTCTATAAAATAACTTACACTGACTTACTACAAGACTCTTACAATTTACGGGACAACAGTAAAGAATTATTTTCTCAGTCTGTTTGCGCGGAAGTTGAAGCATTTCCAGAGTTCCCTTAAATATAAAGCATAAAAACAGGTAAATGTCGGGGTCTCTTTGACATTATTTTTTGTATCCAGCTGTGAGAGCCAACTGTTCGCCAGGAAGTGTAATTGCAAATTGCTATTTAGCAAACATATCACAGTTTTAAATGTTAATATAGCCCTCCAAGGACTTGAGATATATCTTTACTCGAAAATAAGACTTTATATCCTTATATTTTGGGATACATTTTATATCCTTATATTTTAAGATAGATTTTAAGAATATCTGGTGTGAATATGGTTAAGTAAATATTTAGTATGAGTATGTTCTGATAAGAACTCATTTCACTATGATTAGGACGAAAGGTAAGCTACCTAATTAAATACAATATTTTACCATGGTATAGAAAGAAAATTAAGAAAAGTAAGCAATACATTCTTATCTATTTATTCCTAGACACAGCAGTCATTTATTTATAACACAGCAGTCATTAATAAATTTGTAAGCACACTTATAAAATTTGTGTTAAAACTGGCCAGTGAAAATAATAATGAAATAAAGATTTCGTTTTTATTTTCCATCTGAAGTGTACACACAACATCATCAATCAATTCAATGCTTTCTTAACATTTACTTTTCTGAATACGATACGAATCCCAAGAAACGAGTTATGGTTTTACGGGTTTTATGAGTCGACAAAGTTTTAAAATCACTGACACAAATAATTGCCAAATGGAAAGAAGTTCAAAAAAGTAATTTTAGAGATAAATTAATTGGGTTTAATACAAATTTTTGATTTTTAACATTTCTGAAAACGAGAATTTATTGTCTTTTCTTCCGTATGCATGCTTCTATAGTGCAAAGGATAATTTTTAGACATTTACATTTGAAAATTTACATCCGCAACTTTCCTTATTAGTATTTTCAGGCGGTGTTTCAAAATTTTCATAAATGATTTCTCAGATAATTTTGATTATTCAAGATCATAAAATTATTATCTGTGATTAATTCAGTTATGAAAATCATTTCACTCCTGTACACCTTTCTCTAAGAAGACCATATGCGTAATTTTATTCAGCGATGTCATACCGACACGTATGACTAAATTTGCTGCAGTTTGAAGACTATTTTATTCAGTTTATTGCTTAAAACAAAACCGTCGATTTACAACCATTCATTCAAATAATATTTATACTTAAAACAGTGATTTAAAAAGGGTAGCAAGCAATCTAAATGCGTGAACTCTTTTAAATATGCTGTACATTGATCCATTTACTTATCAGAGTGAGCTCAGTGGATTAACATTCATGTAAAATTTTTAATTGTGGCAATGTGGATAGTTCGACGTATGTTTTATAGAAATATTCATGTAGACCAGAAGAATTTGACTTAAGTGCCTCATCCTGAAAGCGAAAAGTTACTCCCCGCAGTTTAAGAAAATTAAATTTTTTTCAATAAGTGAAATAAGAATGAATAAAAAGATTAACTTTTACAGTTTATCCTTCTGTTACAATTGCTCTTAAAATGAATAAGCTCAGAATAAGCCCTTAATATTTACAGTGGTGCTTAACGAATCATAAATGATTTCTCAGATAATTTTGATTATTCAAGATCATAAAATTATTATCTGTGATTAATTCAGTTATGAAAATCATTTCAGTCCTGTACACCTTTCTCTAAGAAGACCATATGCGTAATTTTATTCAGCGATGTCATACCGACACGTATGACTAAATTTGCTGCAGTTTGAAGACTATTTTATTCAGTTTATTGCTTAAAACAAAACCGTCGATTTACAACCATTCATTCAAATAATATTTATACTTAAAACAGTGATTTAAAAAGGGTAGCAAGCAATCTAAATGCGTGAACTCTTTTAAATATGCTGTACATTGATCCATTTACTTATCAGAGTGAGCTCAGTGGATTAACATTCATGTAAAATTTTTAATTGTGGCAATGTGGATAGTTCGACGTATGTTTTATAGAAATATTCATGTAGACCAGAAGAATTTGACTTAAGTGCCTCATCCTGAAAGCGAAAAATTACTCCCCGCAGTTTAAGAAAATTAAATTTTTTTCAATAAGTGAAATAAGAATGAATAAAAAGATTAACTTTTACAGTTTATCCTTCTGTTACAATTGCTCTTAAAATGAATAAGCTCAGAATAAGCCCTTAATATTTACAGTGGTGCTTAACGAAAGTAAAACTTGTGATTGCGTAAGCGTATATATCAGATATTGTGTTTCACTTAAATACGGAAATTTTCGAAAAGTAAAATGAAAGAGAAAGCGTTAATTCGACGTTTTTCTTCTTCTTTTTTTCGTTATACTGATGTATTTAAAATATAGAAGTTGTTCTTGGGGGGGGGGGGAGGGTGAGAACTGCAAAATTTAATTTCGTGAATAACTCCCCCCTTCCCGGAGAAAAGAATAAATAACCAAGGGGAAAATTAGGAAACCGTTACGAATATAAACATATCAGCCGTGTTGCAGATCTCGATGACGAATTCAAATCAAAAAGCATTTCAGTTTTAAAACTTCAAGTAATTTATTCATGCATTTTGAGCAGAAAAGTTATATATAAAAATATAAAAACATCATTAAAAACATATTATCGCTTAAATAAACAAATAAATATGCAGAAACATACACAGGCGTGTAATAGAATAATACAAGAATTTTATCTTTATGATCAAATTTCATTTTTTGAGCAGAAAATAGTGCACAAAAAGGAAAATTACGGGATTTATATAAAAATATGTGGTGTTAAAAATATCTTTCATTAATCATATTAGTGTTATAAACACAAATAAAACTTCCTGTATCATTAATAAATATATATATTCTAAAATTAACATTTTATTTTTAGAGCAATAAGCAATGCTATAAAAATAAAATATGCATTTAAATTTTATCTAATATTTTATTTTATATGCATTTATATTCTATTATAAAAATAAAATATGCATTTATATTCTATCTATTATTTTCATGCAAATTTCTAGTTATTACTTTCATGTTTTATAGCATGAAAATAATAAACAGAAGCTTGGCATCCCTTCCCCTAGGATCTTGCGTGCTTTGCCATATTTAAATGAACTAATCTAACCATCTAAAAGAATAAAAAATAGGTTATTGAATTATCAGGATTTTTAAAACTGTTAAAATAGTATTAAAATCCCGACTTTGCTTTTGAAATGAGAGCAAAACCATTACATCTGAATAAAAAGCAATAATGCCTTTTTTATACAAATACGTATTTAGTATATAACTGGAAATAACGAGAGTGTTCGGTGACATGAGCGAGGTGGATAGTAGCAACGTCTTCTCGAACTTCCATGGCGTTGGTATTACAATTACTTAATATAGTACGTCTTCATTAACAGCAGAAGTTTATCGGTAAAACTTTTCTCCTCTAACGCGCATTTGTTCATAATGTTTTAATAGAAAATTTATTCAGCATGGCGTAGATATAGTAGCTTATCTTGACAGAAAGAAGTAATCTGTTTACAGTTGTTACGGGAAATTAGCAGCATTAAAGAAATATCCAAGCTGTTGTGAAAAATTACGATAAAATTAAAAGGTTCAGTTTTGTGAAATGAAAGCCATAACGTATGAAAAAGCCTGCGATTAAAATATACACTCATGTCCATAAATTAAGGATAATTCGGAGTCACGCGGAAATCGAACTGTAAAATAAATATATCACCTGTAAAATCACTACACACATCTTGAAGAATCATATGCAAATTTCAGGAAGTAACCAGATGACGCCGATGGTACGTCTTATTGTTATTGCATG